TGCTTCATTTGATTTCACACAACGTACAATTTTGAAAATGTTAATGAAAACTAATTTACCATAAAGAGATTTTTCTTCTTTTCCCGAATTCTTAAACAAAAACTTATCAAGAAATTTTGAACCTTTCATAGTAAATAGATCTCAATGAATAGACCAAAAGCTTTTAGGATATGGATGTGAGTGTCATTCTTTTCTTCATCAACACCTACACTCTGTTTGATTTATTTTGTTAAATTCAATAAGATTTTTTTCAGCATCACTATATTTATTCAACATAATTAAACATCGACAATAATCTAATAATTTATTGACAGTTAGTTCAGTTTTAATTCCATTCGAATTCTATAACATTTGTATATATCTTGCCATTTAGATAATGAAAGTAAAGTAAGGACAAAAAGTTCGCGACATTTTTCATATCGATATAAATAGAAGAATTTCTGAGAATTTCTTTCAACAAATTACACCACAACATGCAGCGTGGGGTGTGGATGTGGGTGTATTTGTTGATCTTTTCTTTACCCACACCGACACTCTTCATGAAAATAGAACCGAATATTGACTAACTTAATATTAAAATGATCAGAGCAAAAGTTCTATGAATTTTGAAAGTTTCAGAAAAATTAGAGGTGATCGCTAGATGGACCTGGTATAATCTCATGGATTTACCAGAATATGACCAAGTAGACATAATTTTTATCGAATTGTGTCTGTTTCCTAATATTAGTTCTAGAGTGTGAGGGTGTGATAACTCTTCACCTACACCCAGACACACATCCACCACGCACGCATCCCCACACCCTCAATGTTGTGCTGTATCACGATTCGAATTTGATTGATGACCTGATGAGAACATTATAAATGTTTTATTTACAGTAGATAGATAGAAGAAGGCAAGAGAGAGAATGGCTAAAAGTAGAAGAGACGACGTATATAACTTATCGACAGAACTTCTTTCATACTTGATTTGTTTTCCTTTGTAAATAGTAGTCATTCAGTTTGATTCATTCTTGTTCTAATATTAGAAGAGGTAAATCAAAGTAGCTATTCGTTCTTTTTCAACTTATAATTTGTATTTTTTACAAAAATAATCTATACGCATAAAGCAATCTTTTTCTCTTGCAAAATCGTCATTCCTAATTATAACAGTTGTTTCAAACTTACAAAAGTATAAATTATTGAAACGAAATATTTTTGCAAAACGGTTCATAAGTATATTGCAATCCTTAGACATGGTCATACTCTCGCAAAATTTCGACTCCTATACATTTTTTTTCCTTGTAAACAAAAGAGTATCATAAAAAAATCTTTCAATCCACATTTTTAGACTTTTTCTAACTTGTCTTTGAAAATTTATGAAATAAACATTGATCCGATTTTTCAACTAACCTTGTAAAAACAAAATTTTCTATTCATTAGTCTTAGTATTTGATCATTGCCTTCTTAATATCTCATTTAATACAAGTAATGGAACTCTACAAAAAATATATACATGTACGTTTCTTCAGCTTTCATTATAAGAGGACATCAAGTATAAACCTAAGTTGCATATATCTCTTTTTTTGTTCTCTTTTTTAGTATATATAGAGCTTCTCTACTAATATGGACAGATCCAAAAAATGTCTTTATGAATTCTGATAAAGCATAGAAAAATGGCCGTCGAATGAGTATAAAAGTTTAAATATTCGAGTGACAGCTAACCCTTTTTCAGAACACACAACACATCGCACTTCTCTGTCGATATTTAGTTTTTCATATATTTTTCATTCTTTTTTTTTATACTTACCTCTTTTCTGATGTTTGTTCGAACGTAGAACTCGATTTAGATTCATTTTTATGCGTTCAAAACTACATCAGATAAGTTATCAAAATTATCTATGTCAGAGGCCGAAACCATGTCGAATGGAAGTACTTTTATTCAGTCTACTCACTAGATCACAAACTAATCAGAAAAAAAAGATAAAACTTTGAAATATATTCAATCATAGTTTGATAAGTACGAACAAAATATAGATCATCTGTTATTTTTTCTTTTTTTAGAAAAAGCAAGACACAATAGTAACTATCATCACTTAATCTTTTACTGAACGACAGGCCTTATTATCCTATTTAAATAGCCATTGAGTTACATTTGAGCGCGATGATACTAGAAAAACAGATCAAACGAAAATTGTTTGCTATGAAAAATCCAGACCGAAAGAATTATAGTTTGAACGTTCAGGTGTAAATTTGCCATTGACACTAATAAAATTGACTTACTAATATTATATAAAATCGATAATAGGCTCAAATAAGTTATACAGACATAAAACCTATGTTGTTGAAAGAAAATAGTCTTTAGATATATAAATACATTCTAAGAACTTCGAAAATAATCTATTTATATTTTTTAGATTCATAAATCTAGTAACACAATTTTTAACGTAAAAAAATTTTGTTTTACAAGTATTTATGTATTATCATTTTTCTTTCTTGTTTTTATACATGATTAGATGGCTTATTTTTCTATGATCAATAGAAAATTCATGTTATTCTTATTTTTTTCTCTCTCAATTAATTATTTGTATGGTGATCAGGTAAACAAAGAGCTTAACAAGCTTCTAGACGTTGTTCAATATTAGATCGATGAGTAGGCATATTTTCACTTCTGAAAAAGAAAGAGAATATATGTGTATTTCTGCTTTTTTTGCGTTCTTTTCAACGAAAAACTTGCATGGCATATTAGAAGACATGATTTATCGTATGAAGGGTAAAAGAACAAAGAGAAAGACTTATCCAAATGCATATTCAAATCGTATTCCACTGTAGACCTCCTGATTAGACAGAGAGGGGCTTTCCTCCCTCCCCAAAATTTCAGACATTCTGCCGACATTTCCGATATTACTTTCTGTAGAATTTATAAAGGTCAGTTCAGCAGAAAACTTCCGGTTTTACTGGAATAAAATTAAACTAAAGTTGTTTTCTGTGAAATTTCTCACAGAAAGTCGATTTCATTTCTGCTGTTATGTATCGTCATCTTCTCTTAAGTGACATATACTCATGTATGAGACGATTGCAAGTCATTTGTACAATTGAGAAAAAAAAGCAATGGCTAAGCTTATATCTTGTAGAATTCTCAATCAAATTCAATAATTTTATCAGAGAATATTCTTGGCAAGTGTGGCCAATTTGGCTGCTAAAATCAGCCATTTAGCTATTATTTCTCAATAGTGGGCACGAAAATGATGTCGTTTTTCCAATGAAATTTCACATAGTAATGACCAATGGCAATAAATGAATTTGATTTTTTTTTCTGTTAAGAATACTTTTAAAAATTTTATTCTAACATATTAGTATCTTCGTAAGATTCGCTAGAAAATGCACTATTTGATTTAGCCAAGTAGCGTTTATTTTATTTGTATCTACTCGAAGTATTGGTGGCCTAAGATTTGGTCGAAAATGTTCCGTCACACTGTAAGCTGTTTTTTTCCCTAATAAAAACTTCAACGAAACCCCCATTCAATTATAGTCAAAATGTAGCTCCGAGAAAAAGAAATAAGTTGTAATTTAAACAAAATCTATGGTATTTTGTATTGGAAAAAAAATTAAAAAACTCAGTCTTCAAACAGGAGTTTTTCTCGCTAAATGTCCCGTCACGCTTTATTTTTGTTTTTTATGTATCTCGAGCTCTACTGTACCATAATCAGTATAATTTTCAGCAAAAGTAGACCGCTAGGTATAGAAGAGACACACCAAATTTCGGCTCTTTGTTGTTTGTTGTTTCGGAGAAAATTACAAAATACTGATCAAATGTCCCGTCACGCCTTTTTGACAGTAAAAGTAATGTTTTTCGACCAAAACAGAAAGAAATTTAGATGTGTCTTATATGAATCGAAAACTCTTTGAAAGAGTGATCTTACTAGACGTGTTAAAACTCTTTCGAGTGAAAAGGGTCAGTTTGCTTAGGTAAAAATAGAAGCACATAATTTGGCCTGTAGAATTCTACTCTTACATAAAGCCTTTTTCGAAAAACTGAACTTCCAAAATTCAAAGCTTTGCTATGAAAGTCATTTAAAATTTAATTTCTTCATTAGCTCTGGTCAGTCTCATTTATTTCTTGAATAGTACTATCTACGCCAATACACAGAATCATTCCAGTGAAAAATGAAATTTTCAAAAGAAGTTGAAGTCAAATTGTACAAATGATTTGCAGTCGTCTCGTATGTATCTAAAACAGTGATGAAAACTAATTATCAAAATATTTGTCCTTTTTCACTTCGACATAATTTTATATTGAACAACTTTTATATCGAATTAGTTATGATTAGGTTGTGGGGCGTGTTGTTGAGAAGACTCGATCAATACCCACCTATACCCTTCAACATGTCAAAAGACAGAGTATCAAAAGGTAAGAAAAAATGAGTTATTTAAGAAATTGTATATCATCTATTTATCGAGCTAATATCGATGAAAAAATACTGAAGTTTTCATAGGTTATATAGCTTTTAGTTCTCCTCAAAATGGCAAAAAAAAATATTGGAAAAAAAGCTTTGTGTTCTATGTCAAATGCAGATTACGCTGTCACTAGTCAGGGAAACAATGTAAAAGAAAATGATCTTGTGAATTTTTCGATCTGTTTTGTTCATGAAAATTGTTATCTCAAAGTAATTCAAACTTCCCTCTGTATAGAACATAATATCGACATTCAAGATTAATTATAATTTATTTGTCTAGGATTGACTCTTTGCATATATCTAAAGTCAACTTGTTTTCATTGAAATTCATAAAAATATCTATTCATAACTTACTATACTTGTCCTTTGAGCAATAATCTTAAAAAGTAAGAAAAAATGTTATTTGATGATTAGTTCAAATGAGAATTAATCGTTTAATTATCTTTATAAATTGTAAATGTTTTGTATATTTGTTAAATAGAAGTTTGATCGATTGTATTTGTCTGAGAAAATTAAAACTATTTTTATAATAAATATTGATATTGATTATAGGATATAAAATCAGTAATGCAATTGAAACGATCATCTGGAATATTGCTACATATAACATCATTACCATCATCATATGGAATTGGTGATGTTGGTCCAGAAGCTTTTAAATTTATTGATTTTTTAGTTGAAACAAAACAAAAATTGTGGCAAACATTACCTATATATCCAATCAATTCTCCATCACCGTATTCAAGTATGAATTACTTTCTAATCCAAAAAAAAAAATTTTTTTTCTAATGAAACTCTCTAGAAAAGGCAATCGAAGATGTACAACATGACTAAAGATCTGAATGTGAAGGTGAGCTTGAGGATTATTCTCTTTTAACGTATATCTATGAAGTAGAAAGATAAAAACAAAATCGATGGTATCTTAATCGTAGTACATGTATCAGTTTAAATTTTGTTGTTTATGCAGAAAATATTTCAAAAATTTATTTAACGTTTTTCTTAGAATATCGGTTCGACAATTTATATCTGATGGTTTTCTATCAGAATAATGCATTAAGTACGAAGTATTATGTTTAGAACTAACGAGTTTTGTAGCTCTTTTACAAAAAACACTCGTCGAAGGAAAAATAGAATGTTTGTGTCTATCAGAATTTAGCTATTTTCATAGAATTTCAGTTTTATTGATGTTTTCGTTTCACATATGCCTCCAAACTAAACGAGAAAGAAAATTATAAAAATAAAAAAACCTGACTTTTTTGGTCGAGATGGTCAAGTATTACTGGAGATGCTAGAGGTCCCAAAACAGGTATCATACATATAATAAAATTTTCCTAGTTGCCACCAAAATAAAAAAGAGATATAAGACGAAACTTTTTTCGATGTAGGAATGTATAGGATGTAGGTGTGGGTGTGTGATAACTTTTCATCTACACCTAAACCCATACCCATCCTTGTATTTGATAAAATATAATTTTTTTGTTGTTATTTTTTTTTCAATAGGTTTATCAGCATTTGCAGGTAATTCATGGTTAATATCACCAGATAAATTATTAGAAGCTAATTTAATATCAAAAGATGATTTAAAATCAATTGATCGATCAAAATTTAACAATGCATATGTTAATTTTAATGAAATAAAAAAAAACAAAGAGAAATTATTAGAAAAAGCATATCTTAATTTTAAAAATAATAATGAACAGTCTTCAGAAATTTTAAATGATTTTTTTCAACGTGAAAAATATTGGATTGATAATTTTACATTATTTATGACAATCAAAGAAAAAGTAAGACTACGGATGACATTCTTTATCAAAAAGCATTTATCTCATTTGATATTAAATATTCGAGTAGTTACTAGAATTTTTGTTTTCGTTTGTAAAGCAAAATGGAGAAGTGGAAAAACGAACATAGACAGGTTAAAACATTTCTGAGAACTTTACGGTGAAAAAAAAAGAGAAAATCATTTAAGAGCTCCATATTTATTATTCATTACAGAAATACATGAGTTTCAATGTTGCGTTGATCTCTTCTGCCGTCTTGTGATGGCGAAGGACTATCAGAATTGTTGATTTTTCAAGTCTTCTGAGTGATCTTTTTTTTTTTTGTTAAGAATCAAACTAAGTCTCTACAATGAATCATTGTGTTAATAGATTTCTGTTTTGAAATCGTCTTGATTTATTTCATTTATTTTTAAGGAAATTAGAATAGTGCTTGTAATTTATGTCCACCAAAAACCGTAAGAAATCTCTATACGATCGAAAACAATCGTATTGCATCGTAGACGACCTTTTTATGATCGTTCATGTAGCTAGGTATTACAATCTTATATTATCTGTGATCATATATAGAGAAATATGGCATAAAATTGAGACAGTAAACTAACGTTTCGATCTCATTCAATGATCATATTTCTCAGAGAAGAATAACTTTTCAGCTACTTCATAGATCTCTAATGCATTCATTGAATAAAATTTTTCAACGAGAATTTACTTAAGTATGTTTTTTGAACATGAAATAAATTTTTTATCTTAATAGAAAAACATTTTAGAAAATTATTATTCTAACTTATCTTTTTTTTTATTATCCTGTAGTTATAAAAAAAAGACATATCTTAATTAAAGAAAAAAACAAATAAATTGTTTATTTAGTATAAAAATAGTACATGGTCCGATTGGCCTGAACCTTTACGTCGTCGTGAACAAACTGCATTACAAAGGATTCGTAAACTCAAAAAAGATCGTATAAAATATTATTTGTTTGTTCAATATATATTTGATCAACAATGGAATGACTTAAAAAAATATGCAAATGATTCTAACATAAAAATAATTGGTGATATTCCTATGTATATTGATTATGATTCAGTTGATGTTTGGGCAAATTCTCATATATTTCAATTAGATCACAATGATACCATGAAACCAACTGTTATAGCAGGTATTTTTAATTGCAGAACTCACATTATGTTTTTTTTCGATGAAAAATATAGTATGTGTAAGTTTTAATTAGATTATTCTCGAACATTTCAAAGCCTTGTTCGAAATTTGAATGAATGGAATACGTTTATGAGTGTTCTAGTATAGTTTTTGATTTTTACATAGATAAGAAATTATACTCAGGAATGACGGGTAGTGATTAGAGACCTGCAGTGTCAAGTTCTTTTTATTCTGAAATCCGGCTCTGAAAAATTTCTTCTTTATGATCTCTAATGTATTTTGTTTTTTGCTTAACTTTGAGTGTATACAAATCGATAAACAAATAGAGGAATGAAAGAAAATCAAAGAATCATCAAAAGATTAATTTTGAATTTCTTTTTCACTTGTTGTGTAGTGGAAATAGAAAAAACAATAACTAAGAAGTATTTTATATGTATAGTGGACAGCAAAAGTTTAAGATACTTTTATTTTTGAACTTTTTCAGTGGAAATGAGTAGCTAGGCCAAATCCAAATAGTGATTTGGATAGCTCTTGAAATTCTCTATCGAATACAACATGTGTCGAGTCTTAAAAAAAAACTTTGTGAAAAGGGATTTTCAGAAAACCACGATAGGGGGGTTTTGAGTCCTAGAGGATTTTGACAAAAACATTTTTCAATATAATCATATGAAAGAGCAGAAAATTCTGAACAAAATGAGGAGTGGCGCAGCTCTGTACGATGTTCTGTCGCAAAATTATAAGCATTAGAAAATGTCAAAAAATTGCAAATTTTATGGAAAAACCCCTAAAAATCGACTAAAAACAAATTTTTTTGACATTTTCTAATGCTTATAACTTTGCGATAGAACATCGTACAGAGCTGCGCCACCCCTCATTTTGTTTAGAATTTTCTGCTCTTTCATATGATTATATTGAAAAATGTTTTTGTCAAAATCCTCTAGGACTCAGAACCTCCTATCGTGGTCTTCTGGAAATTTCTTTTCACAAAGTTTTTTTAAGACTCGACACATATTGTATTTGATAGAGAATTTCAAGAGCTATCCAAATCACTATTTGGATTTGACCTAGCTACTCATTTTCACTGCAAAATTTCAAAAATGAAAGTGTCTTAAACTTTTGCTGTCCACTATACTATGCACTAGCAATCGAGAATTGTTGTACTTCAGATGACACTGAAATATTTCTTGATTAATGGTATAATGTTTTTATGTGGTTGATTTTTTGAATGTTATAGGCGTAAGGTGACCCATTTGTTTCTTGTTATGAAATTTATTCTTAATATATGTAGTGAGTAGAGTCTTGCAAATTAGTTTCAGAGTCGTTATCGGAATCAACTGATTTGTTTTGCAAATATTTCGACTTAGTATAGAAACTTTTTTCGAATTGAAAGTTTTGTTCTCTGATATTTACTGTATATACTGATGTATTTTTACTATTTCAACGACATCTTATCAATATCTACAGACATAAAAGAAAGTCGGAGTTAAATTCGATCCCGATTTTTTGTTCCACTCTGACTTTCGTTCATGTCCGTAGATATCGATAAGATGTCGTTGAAATCTCCAAAATGCATCAGTTTATACAGTAAATATAAGAAAACGAAACCTTTAATTCGAAAAAATTCCTATGCTAAATCGAAATTTTTGGCAAGACAAATTAGATGATTTTAACGACGACTCTGAAATTGATTCCGTGCAGAACTATGGTAGTGAGTTTTGTCTTTCGTTTTGTTCTATTTGTTAATATGAAAAATAAAGTTATTGTAATATCAAATAGCAAAAGTTCATTAGACGTGGTTATAGTTTAGAGTTCGATTTGACCCCAAAAACTTTTTTCTTTCAGTAATTCCGACTTCGACGGAGTCGGAGTTGAAATCGAATTTTAGAGTTCTCCGCAGATCTCTAATAGTCGTGCATTGATTTGCCACAGTCGTCACATGATCAACATAAAAAGTGTGAACTAATCAAGATATATAATAATGCGTTTATACAAGTTGTAGATATAACGAATATGTACAACAGACTTATTTGCCAATTAAATTAATGATTACAATAATAATAATAGAGTTGAATTAAGAAAAAAAACAATGAGCGATTGTTAAAAACAAAAATGTTGTTCAAAATGTAGAATTAAATAAGACAGATCGTTTTCCTGCCGAATGATTATCCTTGAAAAACAACTATAGTTTGCTAGAGACCTTTCACTTAATGTATTTCGTGTTAGTATAATGAGACACAAGAGTACGTTTGTGCTCCATGTTTTAGTCTTAAAGGGGCTACGTTGACAAGCTTTTTATTCATAATTATTAATCAAATCTTGATAATATTGAAAATAATTACAGAAAGCAATAAATATATTTTTTTCTTATTGTTTTTATTTGATAGGTGTTCCACCTGAGCATAAATCAGATATACTACAAAATTGGAATATGCCAATCTATGATTGGAATAATAAAAATGTTAGACAAGATTTATTTGATTGGTGGATAAAACGTTTACGTAGAACATTGTCAATTGTTGATTTAGTTAGAATTGATCATTTTCGTGGTCTAGAATCACATTATGTTATGCCAGTTGATATTGAAACACAAGAACTAAATATTTCACAAGCACATTGGGTTAAAACACCGTAAGTTAAATCAAATGGAAATATTTTTCTAGAAGTGTCTTCCACCAATCAATTGATTTGATATCAAACAAGAATTTATTTCATTGGAAATATAAATTCGAAACAAAAACATTTCTCAATTAATTAATCCTTTTTAATATTAGACAATGAAGAATATGATTGAATATTTTCTGAAATTAAAATATCTTTTTTCCCGAGAAAAATATTGAGTGCAAGTTTAAGAATGACGATTGAATTCAAAGCACAAGCAACAGATCCTTCCTCTCTCCTCTAATACCAACACAGGCAGACAGTAACTTACCAACAGAAGAATTAACAGATTGAGTATCAATAGAAACCTTGGGAAGCAATGAATTCTTATCAAAGAAATTTTAGATAACGTATTTTGTATATTATTATAATCAATCTGACGAGGAAAGGTCATCAACTGATGAATGAATTTTAAGTCAGTACTACAATGATCATGTAGATCTTAATGAACTATGAATACTATGAACAGATTTTCTGTTAGTTGCTTATTACTCTCAAGATATCGCATTTTTATACTTTTTTTTTAGGTCAATGTCATGATCCTTCTCAGAAATATCAAGAAAATTGAGTTTTGAAATTCGACTGGAAACTTTACACACAGACAAGAGTTAACAACAATAGATTATTACGAGAGATCTTTTGATGTCTCTTATTATGTTCTTGAAAGGATGGTATTACATTATGCTAAAATATACGGTAGAAATATAGTATCTCTCGACAGCAATAAGATAACAATTCAGAATCTTTTCAGAATACTCATAGCTCATTGGGACTTACATGCTACACATTGTTCCGATTTAAAAGCAGTTTATCACATTCCCTTATGAGAAAGATAAGTCAAATTAAACATTTAAATCTATTAAGAAACTGAATTGGCAAACTATTTAATAAATGATTAATAGAAAAAAAACCAATGTTCAAATTACTTTGAAATAAAATTATCATTATCTTTCTCTTATCTGATTTGACTAATATCAAAATATTTAAATTAAATCCTTTTATTGATATTTTAGTGGCCATGAATTATTGACAGCTGTAACAGAATCACTTGGTTCAGATATTCCATTAATTGTGGAAGATTTAGGTAATGTTACACCAGAAGTATTTGAATTACGTGATCGTTTTCAATTATTTGGCATTAAAATTTTACAAATGGGATTTTATCAGGATTCAGATAATATTTATTCTCCCCATAATTATATTCCAAGTTCAATTGCATATACAGGTTTTTATCGTATTATTTTGATTATAAATAGGACAACTACTTTTACAACTTTATAAATTTTCTCATTGAAATATCTTTCGTTAGTAAGTTATTAAACAATAATTCATCTATATGTAGATAAGTATAACATGTTTTTATACCTAACAAATCAATGTTAATTAGATTTCGTGAAATTCACATATATTTTCGAAGAAAATAGTAGATGTAAGTTTTAAGCCGAGATTTTATGGCTCTTTCTTCCCTCTCGCTACATACATTACCAATCGGAATACATTCTTTTCTCAGAACTCCTTAGCAACAGAAAAACATACTGAATGGCATTAACAATTATGCTTACGAGGGAACGTCTTCAACTGTCCAATCCCTTTTGAGTTCGGACTTTGTGCAAAGAGGTAGACCCTAGTGAAGTATGAAAAACCTCAAAAGATTAAATACCCCTAGACCTTCTGTCCAAAGTTATAGGCATTTTACTGGAATTTTAGCCTATAGCATGGTATATATTAATAAATTGAATGACAGTATTTCGACCTGAGATTTTGTCCACAGGCAAGTCTATTCATGAATGAAATATCCTGAAAATTTTAGCTGAAAAGGACGTTTTCTTCCCGAGATATTTAAGTCTCAAAAATGGCTCATATACTATAAAAGATACTAGAATTTTCTGTTTTGGGGGGCTTAAATATCTCGGGAAGAAAACGTCCTTTTCAGCAGAAACTTTCAGGATATTCCACTCATAAATATACCTGCCTGTGGACAAAATCTCAGGTCGAAATACTGTCATTCAATTTATTGATATATACCATGCTATAGGCTAAAATTCCAGTAAAATGCCTATAACTTTGGACAGAAGGTCTAAGGGTATTTAATCTTTTGGGGTTTTTCATACCTCACTAGGGTCTATCTTTTGCACAAAGTCCGAACTCAAAAGGGATTGGACAGTTGAAGACGTTCCCTCATTAGACTATTTTAGAACATTTCAAAGACTTCCTTGAAATTTAAATGATTGAAAAACATTTGTGATTGTTCTCTAAAAGCTCAGTTCTTTTTATTTTTGCACACACAAAAAAAATCGTATGATAAATGTCAAGAATAATGAGTAATGATGTAATAAATAATGCAGGAACTCATGATAATCCAACAACATTACAATGGTGGACAGAAAAAGCATCGGAAAAAGAAAAATGTCAATTTATTGAATATATTCATCGTCCAATAGAAGGTGATAAAGAATTAATTAATGATTTAAAACTTGAAAAACATGTTGATAAATATATTTGTTGGTATTTCATACAAGTTCTTTTACAATCAGCTTCAAATGGCGCAATTATTCAAATGCAAGATCTTTTAAATATTTCAACAAGAATGAATGAACCAGGAACAAGTAACTTATATTATTACATATTGTAAAAAGAAGAAATATTTACCATTCAATAAAGAAATTTTTGTTGGATTATTTGAGAATTTTCTCAAATATAAAAATCAGTCTATAATTGTTTTTTCACTGTCAGAAGAGATTATCATACTAGTTATGATCTCATTTAGAGGTATCAAATTAATCTCTATTTATGACGATCAGTGAATCTCGTTTCAATCGATCTCTTAGTAAAAAAAAACTGATTGTCTAATACGTTTGATAATTATTTCTAATAGAAGTACAAAAAAAAGAAATAGAGTATATCAGCAAATGTTAGTTCTGTTTCTGATTTTAACTGTACTCGGTTTCATTCTAATGTCGAACAGTGAAAAAACGAATTATATCATTATGAAAATAAAATATTTTTTTATTGATTGTTAATAGCATCCGATGTTGAATATGATGGTCCACAAAATTGGTCATGGCGTTTCGAATGGTCTCAATTGACATCAGATATTCGAATGCGATTAAAAAGATTAACACATATGTATGGACGTGATGTAAAATATGATAAAGCCATTCCATCAGAAGATATGCCTATGAAAAATGATGCGAGATGTACTCTACAATAAACTCATAGATTTTCATAATTACATTTTTAAATTCATTATTGTGTTTTTGTTTCATTTCATTTTTACACTAGCAGATGATTCTATTTTTTGTTGGCTTTTTTTTCTCCTTCTTCGAAATTATTATTTCAATTCTTTTTGTCGAATAGGAACTTTTAATAAATATATTCTGAGAAAAACAAATTTAGTTTTATAGAATTTATAATCAAAAATTAATACCGAAATTTGTAGAAAATAAACTACTTAACTACGTACTATTCACCATTCAAAGAGAACATGGAGGTATGGGTTTCTCTATGTCTCCTGAACCTACACTCGCGCCCATTCATGAACTAATTTTATTATTGTGATATTAGTTGAAGAATCGTCAAGTAAAGGACAAATAACTTTTTGTTATTACTTCTTTCATAGAAATTTATAGTTATACATCGTGAGATATTCAATTCCAATGAATAATTAACTATTGTCGGCGCCAGAATTAAATAGGGATGGGTGTAGAACGAATATCTCGAGACCGGCAGTAGGTAGCGACCTGTAGCTTTTACCAGGCCCGTAGCCAGAAATTTTCTGAGCGGGGGGGGCTGAACTTATTTCTCATCGTAGGTACTATGATATAGTGAGCGGAGAAAACACGCATATAATTCACAAGAACTGTCCTAGTGGACTTTGCCCATCCTACATCATAGATGATACCACTTGTACCATGTTTTTATGGAACAATTCAAAAGAAAACTTTCCACAGATAAGGTTTACTTTATTTCACAAAAAAGAAATTATCTGATATTTGACAGTAAGCAAAAACAAAAATAAATAGAATATACGTTCTCTTGCTCTTGCTATGGTTGATTTTCCTCCTGAGTTAATGATGCAACTGATGAACAGATATTAACTGGTGGCGGGTCGTTTGTGATGATGGATTCAGTATTGATGACTTCAGCATTTTTGTTCATATCTTGTAATCGTTAACGTTTCTCAACGCGTGCAAAAAAATCAGGGAAAAGATTTCTTTTTTTTTCTCACTCATTTTCACAATGAACAGTACTGAGCAGTTTAAGGACACTATCAATATTTATATATATATAGGGTGTCCTGAAAGTCATTGACCGAAAGTTTTTTCGTGTATCTTTACTATTTCATTTAACTTTATCAATAAATTTTTTTTAAATTATAGGTGAATATACCAAGTTTTTATTTATCCGAACGATCTTCCATATTATTGTGCAAAACTATCACCTTGGATCAAGATACAAAAATTTAGCTTTCTTTGTAAGAAGCGAGTAATTCAACAATCGACTGAGGTTCTTTCTTTGATATTTTCACATGGTTAGATTGAGCTTGTCGAGTTCTACAAGAATATGTATATTGAAAAGTTTTAAGCCTTTTTTTTTGAAGCAAAATTTGCAGAAAACTACTACAGAAAGTCGAAATAATTAAAGAAAAAAAACGCTACATAATGTTTTTCTGGAAATAAAAAGAGAGTAAAATTTTTGTATCTTGATCCGAGATGATAGTTTTGCACAATAATATGGAAAATCGTTCGGATAAATAAAAACTCGGTATATTCACCTATAATTTAAAAGAAATTTTATTGATAAAGTTAAATAAAATAGTAATGATACACGAAAAAACTTTCGGTCAATGACTTTCAGGACACCCTGTATACACTCGGGGACAATTGAATTTATACCCTTTGATCTTTTTGTTTTTTATTACTATACGGTTTTATCTATTAACTTACTATATATAGGGAGAAAGCCCAGAAGCCACTGCATCTTTTGGTATATTTACGTTGAACATCAAATGCAGTTTAAAGTATAAAAAGTGTATTAGAAGAAAAAGAACATTATTTTTATTGCCAAAACCGGGTATCCATAATGTTGTCACATTTTTTTATTTCGCATATATCTCGGCTGAGGAAAATGGTAAAACCTTGAATCTTTTTTCAAAAGATGCGCCGTGAAAAGCTCTACAAAAGCCATATGATTGAATTCCTTTTTACCTGTTCTAATGGTTTTTCTTTTGCTCAAAATGAAAAATTTACAGGTCTAGTTTTACTTCCCATAATATAGAAAGTATTTCGAGAACTTTTTCGATTCGCTATATAGGATTCGGTCTATACAAGTTTTGTAGAGCTTTCGACGGCACATATTTTAAAAACAAATTCAATATTCCATCATTTTCTCAAGACGACATATATGCAGAACAAAAAAGTCTTCCAACATTTTCAGTATGATGGGAAGTGACACTGCCATGTAAGTTGTTCATTTTGAGTATAAGAAAAACCATCAGAACAGATAAAATGGAATTCGATCATATAGCTTCTGTAGAGCTTTTCACGACGCATCTTTAAAAAAAAATCAAGATTTTATCATTTTCCTAAGCCGAGATATATGCGAAATAAAAAGTGTTACAACATTATGGACATCATGGAATTAAAAAAAATGTCCTTTTTCTTCTAATACATTATTTATACTTTTAACTGCATTTGATGTTTAACGTAAATATACCAAAAGATGCAGCGAGTTCTGGGCTTTCTCCCTATATATAGTAAATTAATAGATAAAACCGTATAGTAATAAAAAACAAAAAGATCAAAGGGTATAAATTCAATTGTCCTCGAGTGTAATAATGGTTATAAATAACAATCACTTTCCATATATGGTAATGATCGTTTACCTTGAAGCCATTTATAAAATAATATGCTTATCAAGTTATACATACAATAAGTGCACGGATGAATAAACGAAATAAGCAAAGAAAAAGACCTCATACATTTATATTTTTATTTCTTCTATATCGCACGACGATCGAATGTTTTCTAGATAGAAAAATGATGGCAACAAAATTAACTGATTTATTAGGAGAACAAATTCTTCAACATAATGAATCAAATCTAATATCAACAAATCAACTTGATGGAAAAACTGTGGCATTTTATTTCTCGTCTGTTTATTATACTTAAAAATTAAAAATAAATTAATAATTTTTTTTTTCTTTTTTTATAGAGCTCATTGGCGTCCACCTTGTCAAAGTTTTACACCAAGATTAGCTAAAGCATTTAATGAAGCTAATG